CTTTGACCCATCTAGAGCAAAGGAACTAGGACATCCCTTAGCCCCAGAGCTACAGCAGACATGGTGTGCTACCCCTCTTCAAAGAGCACATCTGGCTGGGAAAACACTCCACCTCAGACTTGCAGACCCCCTATCGGGATAGAGAAGAGCTGGCTCTTTTGCTGAAACAGGAGATGCCTTACAACCCTGAGGAGGCCGCAGCCCTCTATCTGAAGCCAGCTAAGCACTCATTTGGCTGGCAGCCTAGAAAAACGTGAGCTCTCCTAATACCCAGACGGGAATGCCAGGGACAGGGAGGCTACTGCAGGGGCAGCTGCTCCATAAGCCAGCAGGGCACTAATGAGCTGAGTGGACAGCTGATGTGCTATTGGAGGTGATGGCCCAACAGCAGCTCATTAGAAAGGTCAAAGGACGGCACCTGTGCCCTCAGGATATGTCTATCACAACAAGGCTCCAGGGAGGGGAGGCTGGGGGGCATGACTGAGGAACCAGCAATCATCTTCTGAAACAGGGCCCACCCCACCCCACATTTTTAGGCATAATCAAGGTCACTGAAAGAGCAATTGGGGCAGGGCTAATTATGCTGCTTTGCATTTAAATTGAAAATGACCCAGTGGCAGCATTTAAGTGACACTGGGGTGATGACACCATACAGATCGCATTAAAACTGTGGCCCTCCAGTGGAATCTGTTCTCTTCTGGGGGGGGCAGGGAGCTGAGTACCTAGCAAAAGTGGCGCCTGGTGGTGGCAGGAGTGGGGTAGAACACAGGCAAGGCAGGAAAAAAGCCATTAATTTCCATGTTGATGCACCAGAGCTCATCCTCATGCAATTCAAACACTGGACAGGAAGTCAAGGACAGTATTAGCCGAAAATCTAATGCTAATAGGCCTGGCTGCAAAGCATCGGAACTGAAAATTAATGCCTGCTCCGGGCACAGGAAAAAACCAAATGCAATGCTGAATTGCAAGAGAGAGAGTATTTTCTTTTGAGGAAGGAATAATCAAGCCCTGAGGATACAATCCTTTCCATCTGAGCTCTGTGCACTCCACAGCAAAGCCTGAAAGCTCTGTTGAGCAGGAGTAGACAGGCTGTACAGGAGTTACAGAGGGGAAGGAGCTCTCAGGTCATTCTCTTCATGTCCAGCATTGTCCTCCTCAAGAGCTCAGAACTAAAGCTCTTGGGATCAGGAGACTGACTTGTGCCTTGGAAAGTGGAAATCTTTAGCATTTGTTATTTCTGAGTTTTCCTGCTGCACAACAAGAGGTAGAAACTCCGTTTAAAAAAAAAAAAAGAAATGAAATGTGTGATTCTTGTGTAATCCCATGATGCCAGGAGCTGGGTCTTAAAGGGAAAACACCAACATTTCCTAAAGCTCCTGGTAGCGCAGTGAGAATGTATGATGCTGGATCTTGTTGAAGGATTAGTCGGTTCTGAAAACGAGCCTCGTTTCCACAAAGATTAGCTGCCCTACGCTGAAAAGAGATTGCTTTTA